CGGTACTAGAAACAGGAGAAGGCGGAGGCATGTTGGGAGCTCCACGCCCTCTAGGTGGCATTCCACGACCCCTAATGACAAAGCTGAAACAAACCAAAGTATAATAGCAAAATTTGAACCTTAAAGTAGGGGATCCTCTCATCATTCCCCGCATCATCGGCGTTCCCATGCTACTGCCGCCTCTTCCTCTTGCGGTTGGGGAATTCGGATTGTAACCCATCTCAGCCATTTGTTGCTGAACAATTTCATCTCTTACCTGAAAATCTAATTAGCAAAGAAAAGATGGATTTGATACGTACCGGCTGCAAGTAATACTGCAGTTCGCCAAGTGCATGCGCCAACCGCTGGTAAGCGATGGCCGGCGGCGCAATGACTTCAACACGAACGTGAAGAGGATCTTTGAGATGGGCATATTTAGGATCTCCAGAAGCGATCAGTTCCTCCTCCTGATAATATTCAAACAATGCGAACTACGAAACAATAATTAATCAAAAATCTACCTTGGACTTGTCTCTAGATGAACCTCGCCCGAGAACATAAATTCTGCATTTCGTCTGCTGTATTAAATTCTGTAAGGTTTTTCCTCCTGGTCCCAACAATTTTCCGACAAAATTGAACTAAATAAGCATTTTCAACTACGAAAGCGGTGTTACACGTTGTGCCGATTATTACACTGAATAATCAGATATAAGGTGTATCAAGGTGGAATTCAGCCAAGCCATTTTCCATATTATTCGTAATTCATCGACTTGCAAATCGCTTCTCGGCTGATTGCGACGAAGCCACGTGGGATATAATCTGTGGCTCAAAGCACCCCCGGAGTTCTGTCGGCTCTTAGATACTGTACCACTAGGCCTCAAGTGCTAATAAAATTGCAACATACTTTTGGATTCCGGTGAACTGGAACCAGGATCTTTTTCAGCAGCTTAATTGGTTTAGTTGTCACATCCACTTCGAGATACTCCGGTTCCTGAGACGACTGCAGATTTTCTGCTTCTATAAATGTTTTTCATAAAATATACTAGGTAAGACAATTGATCAACGGCTGTCTTAGGATATGATTGAAATATCAACGGTTCGAATCACACCTGGATCATTATCAACGTGGCAGAGTTAAAATTAGAGATCGGTGTGACTGTAAATTAACAGTTGGCTATATCTTCCAATATTTACTGGCCAAATACAAACAGGTTTATGTTATCTTCTTAAGCTGGAAGCTGTTCCACAGCTTCTGCTGGTTTGCATTTTTTACATGCTTCTCCGGATTATTCATTTCATTTCTACCTCACAATATGAAAATAAATATTTTTATAAAACTCAAGACCTGTCACGTCAGAACTATCTATATATACCTATACAAGAAAAATGAATACGTATTAACGACAGAAAGGTTTAAACTTTATGAATTAACTCTAGCTGTAGCAAGATATTTCGGGGCTTAACTAACATAATACTGGGAATAGGGATATCGTTTGTATAAAAAACTAACAAAATTTCTACTTAAAATGATGGTACTTTGATAGCTAAAACACCGCTCGATGTAACTGATCGTTAATAAATTTCTGTACAATAAACTGATTCTAAGACAAGGCCAGAAGAGTAGATGCACACCTTGCACCATTACTACATACACAGTATCTGTGTCTACACCTATGGATGACCCTGAAACGCTGAACAGGGAACTATTTTGTTTTCATTACGCTTAACTGGTTTTCATTTTACTAGACAGAAAAGTCGTAAAAGACAGAATCATGACATAAACGCCTAATAACATAACATGTTTTACACAACGACCGGTGCGGTTATAACTGACTTAGACATCGGTATAGTATGATTGTTTGCATCCTGTACTACCACACAGGATTTCGAGATTCGTAAAATAAACAGTGCAATTTACTGAATAAAGCTTCTGATCCTAATATAAGCATCATTTGCGACACGACTTCCTATGCACACACGCATATACCATCATGGTTAAATCACGCAAGCTTCCAAAACCTACTATAGCGAATAAATCATGTCAAGCAAAATAACCTGCTCTAAGACAGAATGTTTGGATTTACGAATTCATAGAACGCTCACTACTGATCCGCAAGTTGTTTCGTCAAAAAGTTTTATTTGCCACCTCTGAACCAAAACGTTGAAGGGCCTCCATCTTCAGTAGTTGTGTCTGCTACATTGCTGAATAAATCTGACTTAGAACAAAAGACGCTGCTTCGCACCTTCTGTGAAATGAGTAGGTTAGTGGCGAGCACGCCAGTTCACTACAAGTAAGGTTACATGAAGGGAATCTGCACGCAATCATAATCTTTTACTGATGTTTGCACTTAAAAACGACAGATTTTATGATCATTCTGAACGTACCAGAATAAGAATGAAATTCATTCATAATGCGCAGATTACAAACGCAGAAGCTTTTTCGGTATCAGAATTGACGATAATCATGGTCGATGATGAATTGGTACCGTCACTGCTATCAAACTATACTCGTCGACGACTGGAAAGTGGCATACATATATCAGCTCAATTTTTATAGCAAACCACATTTTAAAACCTTTCATGCGCATAATGATCGAGCAAACGCTTTGCAACATCTGTTAACAGACTGCATATTTTAAAATCTGTTTACTACCAACTTAACGCGTGTAACGACGCATCGCTCTTTAAATATATATGTTATCTCGAACATCTTCATATCAACTTCAGATCAAGAACTGCGGAAAAGGAATGGTGACAGGAGTAGCACACGACTGTCTGACAAGGTGTAACGATACCAATGTCACCGGATCAACATAAGCCATTCGTTACTACAGCCCTAACGAATCCAGTAAAAGATTGATCATCGTGTAGCTAACATCTGTTGTAGCCATGCAGAAACCGTCTCGCTGCGTTGCAGACCTCCGACAGATCTTCACATTTACAATAGCGTCAGAGGAGGGTGGACTCCAAGAAGCTTCGCACCGCAATAGCAATTCCATGGTTCTGTCAGCGTGAATGAAAAGCCAGAAACCTAACAGCTGCATGGTCTCGGACAAGAGCTAGGTCGCAACTCGGCAACCTTCGGATCGTAACCATGCTGTTTGAAGAACTCAGTGGCTATTCATAACCCATAAAATCCTGAACATCTGAAGGGTGTCATTTGTTCCATAACATAGACTCTCATGACTCCTTATGCAGGAGTAAATAACGTAATACGAAACATTTCATAATTTCATTCTGCTCT